CTTTAACTCCTAACATACAGGAGCTTTAACTGAAGTAGGAAATAATTTTAAATGGCTTATTTTTAATTCAGGTAAACATGGTTTACCTCATTGCTGTGGCCCTCATGTAGAATGTGTATTCCTGGTCTCTTAACGACAAGTAAATACTTCTTTTGCAGAAGCTGTTTTTGAAGCCTTGTTCATAACTGCCCATTAGTCACACGGAGCTCAGATGTGGGCATAGGTCTGTTTCAGGAATTTCTGATGGTTTGTGTCAGGCCAGATGTTCACTATGTCTGTAACTTATTTTCTACACATTTTAAGACACTGATTCGTTTTATAAAACATGTGTAGTCTGTGTATTCTTGAGAATCCGTTCACCCTTCTTCACACCATTTTAGTTCCTGAATTTGCTCCATAAACAGGCATGGTTTGGTCTGAAAAAAAGGAGATCAAATTCAGGTCCCATAGGCTTCTGGAATTCATCCCGGCTTTCAGCTACACACTTTGGGTATATTAATTTGGGGGCATTTTGTGAAAAACATGTTGTATACAGGCTGTTGTATGTTCCTGACTTTCCATCTGACTTTCCTGTCTCCATCCAAGATCAAAACTTCATTTCTTTCATTTCTCAGTAGCTGCTGCGTATAACAATTTGAAGACCCAATTTAGGCTCTACTGAAAGAAAAATTTCTTTATTGGCAGTTTCATAAGAGTAGCAGAAATTGTTAAGTAAAAGCCAGCATGAATACAAAAATAAGTGTGACTGAAGAATATAATAAAAAAGTTTTGTCAACCTGTTCCTAACACTACATTGCAAAATATGCCTTAAATATCTTGTACAGTGCAAAATGTCTTGTCTCACAGTCCTTGAGAAGGTTAACATCTCTGTCTGTGGGTATTTCCAAGGATTCAGTGGGATATAATGCGTGAGTTCTGGCAGGTCATTATATATATACCTCAGTGAGTAATTACAAAGCTTCCTGTCCTGATTGACCCAATTTAGCTTTCATTTAACAGCATTTTTTGGAAAATGGCTTGATTGGTCTACATTTAAGTGTAAACTGATTCATCTGGGCTCAGAGGTGAAGAGCAGGTCAGTATGAGTTCTCAAGGAAGATAAGGACTCCTGAGCAACCCTGTAAGACACAGCTGCAATGCTGCAACCTCCTGGAGTCAGATTAGACTGTCTCAGCCCCTCTGTGGGAAGCCAGACTGTTTCATCCTTTTATTTTCTATCTTCGGCTACCTGACATGCAAAACTTCCAGCAATTTTCTTCTGGTGGGTAGTCAAGTTTTTCATGTGAGGCAGAAGGAGCTTGGCAGCATACAAACCTTTGAGGGCCACTTGGGGAAAGCTCATGTATTAGAAAAGCTTTATCCATTGGGCTGTGTTATTTCAAGCAGTGATACTATGATTGCCCCACCAGGTCCCTGTAATATACTGCTTTGGCCACGTCTTCTTGTCAGAACCTCAACCTGGATTGTGCTGCGTTTAAAGCTATTCTGTGTTTGTTTTTTCTGTCAGGTTGGCTTACACTCACTTGGCTTCTTTACATATTACTTGTGAAAATTCAGTGTATTTAAACATATGTATGTATGTGCTGTGAAAAGCTTTGGGTTGCTCTCTCACTTAATGGGGTCATTAGCTGCACATTTAACTTCTAAGTCATAGAATCATAGAATCATAGAATCATTAGGGTTGGAAAGGACCTTAAGATCATCTAGTTCCAACCCCCCTGCCGTGGGCAGGGACACCTTACGCTAAATCATATCACCCAAGGCCTTGGAGATTTAAAGCAGCCCTGCGGAGAAGGACTTGGGGGTTTTGGTTGATGAGAAAATGAACATGAGCTGGCAGTGTGTGCTTGCAGCCCAGAAAGCCAACCGTATCCTGGGCTGCATCAAAAGGAGCATGACCAGCAGGTCGAAGGAGGTGATCCTGCCCCTCTACTCTGTTCTCGTGAGACCTCACCTGGAGTATTGTGTGCAGTTCTGCTGTCCTCAACATAAAAAGGACATGGAACTGTTGGAACAAGTCCAGAGGAGGGCCACGAGGATGATCAGGGGACTGGAGCACCTCCCGTAAATATGCTTGAGTCTTGTTGAGTTCCTCAAGGTAGTTCTTAGCTGCTTTAAGTCAACGCTACATTGACTTGGAGCTTTACATGTAGGAAGTTGGAGAAGAGATCAGAGACAACATTAACTGAAGATGCAGAGTGCAGTGAAGATTTGATACTGCTGATTTGAGGAGGAATTCTAATTATCTGGATTTTCCTTTCTTTTTCCTTCTTATCGTCTCTTTTTTTCCCTTCTCTCGCTCTCTCTCTTAATAGGGGGAATTCTTCAATGATATGACTTCGTGGACAGTTGAGAAGTTTATGGTCTGAAGGCTGATAATCACTCAAGAATCACCCAAAAGACAAGTTCTGTGACGATGTGTTTATTCATAGCTCAAATAAAATGCTTTGAGCTGCTAGACAGATAGCTGTGTAAAGAATTTTTTGTCTGCTACAAGGTGCAAAAACCTGTGATGTGTTTCAGTCCTTCTAAAACAAAACAACACCCCCCAAAAAAAAGAAAACTCATAAAAATTGCTGATATAAAATCAAAACATTAATTGCAGAATTAAAGGGCATAGCAAACGCATTTGGGATAAAGTGTGAGGAAAAAAGAGTTACAGTGAAAACCATTCTTATATCGAAGTATTTAAAAAACATAAATGTTGAATGTAAAGCTTTGCTTATCAGAATATATACCCATTCTGTCACATCCTTTTTTTTTTCACCCTTGTCCAATCTACCAGTAATCATCAGTAATATGGGGAAGGAGGATCATCACCCCTTATCATGTATACTTAAATGAGCATCAGTGAATTAACACTGATGCTTAACCTGGCATCTTTAAGTTTCAGATTTAATGCCTCTGTTGAAATTAAGCAGTGGCCATTCAGAACCCTCATGGATATTGCTTCAGGTGCTCTACTTTACCTCCGGAGGAGGGGGTGGATTGTGTTAATCAGTCTACAGAAATACCTGTACATATATGAAAGTCTGGCACTTTTGAAATGAATGTGAATTTTGTTACTGAAGTAGGAATTGATGGTCTAAGAAAGACAAGCTGGAACTTTGGGGAAGCAACACCATTGCGATGAATTATCTTCCCTTCATAGCCATAAAAATATAATTACATTTACATACTGGAGTAGGGAGAGAAATAGTACTTTCAGCTTGGAAAAGAAACAGTTTATGGTTTGCACTTTGAAGTCAAAGCTCAAAATCTTTCCCAAACACAAATTGCAATACATTCTGTGTAGTCACTATCCTTTCTCTAAAAATAAATCAAAGTAGAAAATCATGCAGTTCTTCTTGTAATGTAGCACTGATTGTAAGTTTCCAAGGTCCGGTTAGCTCAAAGTCTGTTGGTTCTTGTAAGTGTATTAGTTTGAGCAGCTCTGCTATAAGGTAGCTTTTGAGTTCACACCTCAGTCCTCTATTTCTTAGGACTTCCACAATTCAGTTGATAAATTGTCTGCTTTCAAAGGTCATAAAGTGCAAAATCGTGCCTTTGATCACTTGAGAAGGGACAAGGCAGAATATCCAGACTCCTCTGGGAAGGACCCTTACAAAGTTGACCACATCCCTGTGGCAGTGCAATACTGTTGAGTTTGCAGATGAGACACAGAAAGGTTCTGCTGAGGGCTTGATTTAACAGGTAAACAGGCAGGTTCAGATTGAATTAAAAGAATCCAAGTGATGACTGTGTCTCTTTTCCCAAGCTTGTTATGTCTGCCACTATTTAAACAGAACTCTGGACTGTTCTGTCTCAGCATTGAATGTGACAGCATACCTCAGGATGTCATCAGCACTCAAATAACAGGAGCTCTCTAATTTCTGATAGCAAAGACGGGTCAGAAAGTAGACTTCTGCCTCCAGCCTCCTGCATGATGTGGGGAAACTGCTGAGTTTGAAGTTTCTGAAATATTAGAATTTCAATTGATGCTGGGGGAGGCACGTATGGCCTTGGTCTAGATGGATAGCTATGAGATACACAGTCACATTATATGACTCAGAAGCACGCTGCCACTGCTGAGGGTGCAAAGTCTGTCTCACATGCAAGCATCCTTTCAGCATAAGTCCGTTTAAGCATCTGTTTAAGTTTTAAAAACCTCTGAGCCTTTGCTTCTGGGCTCTCAGCTTATTTCAAAATCAGTAGGATGGTGGCTAAACTTGGAGTTGGTTCCTGGTGTTGAAAAAAAGTCCCTGTGTAATGACTCAGTGTTCCTTCCCTGTAAAGAACAGGAAGGAAGGTATGAATATTTACTTTCCTGATGGAAATGTCACGTCATTAATACCTGTATAGCTCTTCTGTATCAAATATTCTTGCCTTTCTATATTTAGTGGTGCATGAAAGGAGTCTGTTGTGTGTGGGAGCAGTGGCTTTTCCCATAGGCAGCAGCCCAGGAGTTTCCTGGTTGGAGGTGTGATATTAATGGGACAGTGCCTCACATCCCACTGCTCCGTTTCTTCCAGGTGCCTCAAAAGAGGCAATTTTGATCCTCTCCAGTGTTGGTAATGATGTTAGTGCTGCATAGGTTTGGTGTAGTCTGTTAGCCCAAATGAAATATTCTGAATAGGGAATCTGTGTTACATGCCTTATAAAACAACTGATGTGGAAGTGCTCAGCTCTAAAGATAGTAAAGGGAAGTGGTGTATAGCATTATGCTGCATTTCTCAAAGCCTGTCTGAAAGTTTGGACACAAATTGCCGAGGGTGCAGCTTTATTTTATTACCACTTTTGGTTCCTGGATTCAGTGGTGTGCCCTGTCTTGCTGCAGTTTTTGATGAAAGTAGGATCTTTTCTGTAGCATTTAGATCATTCATTTGGCAGTTACTTGGAGGCTTTTCTGTCTTGCCACTTCACCTTTTTTTTCTTGATAAATAACTGAACATTTTATCTGCAGTTTTTCATGTTGTGAACTTATGCTCTTAAATTTTCACGTGTCTGTTTGTTTATTGCAGCTGGTGCTCGGGATAAAATTGGCTGGGCATTTGGCTTGGGTTTGGAGAGGCTGGCCATGATCCTGTACGATATCCCTGACATTCGACTGTTCTGGAGTGAAGATGAACGCTTCTTGAAACAGTTTGTTGTGCCTCATATTTGGCAAAAAATAAAATTCCAGGTAAAGTAATGTATATATGATAATAATTTTCTGTCAGTAAGGAGTGTGTTTGGCCCTAGAGAGTATCACATAATTAAAATTCTGTGCCATTAGCAGATTAGGTTTTTATGCAACAGCTTTACAGCTATCAAGATTCTCTGATATACTGCAATAAAATTCATCTTTTGATACTAACATTTTTTTTCCCCAGATAGTGTTGTGGGTTGCTGCTGATACCCTGTGGGTATTTCTGTTCTGAGTAATACTTAAGCATATATTTTACTTTTAAATACGTCCACAATAGGGATTTATTTAGGCCTGTGTCTGGTTTGGGTATATTCTTGAACTGTGTCCATAATTCTGTTTCATTATAAAAATGTGTCTGATGCATTCAAATACCATAACACAATCCAAAGTTTTCCCATTGCTTTTATTCTACATTCACCAAAGTCAATGTGAGTTGCGTTGTTAAACTTTGGCTCAGTATTTTATGAATGTGCCTCACCATCTTCAGTATGTCAGCTCTTTCGTTCAGGTGATAGTGGGGGAAGAATGCAGGCTCAGCTTATATTGGTTTTGTAACTCCTCTACTGAGGTGATTTTTGTAGTTAGTAACCTTGTTGTACTTTTCAGAAGTTGCAAAGTAATCAAGCCTAATGGGATTGAGAGGCAATGCTACTTCCATAATATTCTTTAGCATGAGCACGGGAAGGTTCAAGTCAGGTGGAATCACTGGTCTTTGGGGCAGTTGAGCTGCACAGCTGTGTAGATGCTTGCTGAAGTCTGAAGTGCTAAAGCAGCAAAACACTTTTTGCTGCTGTCTTTTACCATTTTACTTGCTTTATGAACGGCTTGATTATGGTTTTTAGAATCAAAACTGTAAAAGGAGAAATCAGCAGTGACAATGCATAGATGATTTTTGAGTAGTCTTCACATCAAATCAATAGCAGCATCTATTTTTTAACTCATGACTGCTGGCACATTTTTTCTCATAGATTAAAAATTCAGAGTAGTGTTTGATAGGTTTGGAGGCTGGGTTTGGGCTTTTTTTTGGTTATCGTTATGGTTTGGTTTGGTTTTTTGTTGGTTTAGGTGTTTGGTTTGGGGTTTCTTTGGGGTCATTGCGGTATTCAGGTTGTAGTTATCACTTACAGAAAGAAAGCAGGTTTTTGCCACTGTTCCTAAAGGTGGGTCTGACTGTAGATTTCCCTAATCTCCTACAGAATGTTTGTTGTCCTTTTCAAGAAGGAGTGCTCAAGTTGTCTTCTTTTCAGCCCTTATCTTTCTGTTTGGCTTTGCTCCCAAGGAGCACAGATTGTGGCTTGATTTATAGATTTCATATCTGATGGAACTGAGATGAGGTTTCTTGCTTACTTTAAGATTGTGAATCCAAGCCTCAAATTGATATTTGCAGTAGACTGGGGTTTTGGGGAAAGGCCCAGATTGTCAGAATAGAATCATAGAATAGAATCATAGAATGATATGGTCTGATGTTAAAGAGGAGCCAAGGAGAGGGCTAGGTGTCTGACTTCTGTAAGTTGTGTATCGTTTTCATGTTCAAGCTTTGGATAAAGTCATGTATAGTGAACCAGTCTGAAGATGACAGAGGCATAGGTTCCTGTGGATAGACTCAGAGGAAAGGATACAGTTCCTATGAAGCTAAAAGTGAAAGAATTTTTTTTCTCTCTTGGGTTTGTTTTTTTTTTGTTGTTGTTGTTTCTGTTTGTTTTGGTTTTTTTTCCAATTGGTGCTGTTTGGTAACCTTAGCTGCCAGGACTCACTAGAAGCACGTGGGTTTCCACTGTTTTGTAACTGTATGATCAATAGAAGAGTGGTACAAGGTCTTGGTAGGTCTTTAAGCATTTTTTCTTGCTGAGCAGTGTTGGTTTCAGCTGGCCTTGATTCAACTCTGAATAAGGAGGAAAGTTCTACAACCCGAAACTGATGTTGTAGAGAGAGTCATGAAGTTGAGGCTTGTTGTCTGAAATACATTCTTAAGTAATAACATGAATCAAGATGCAATAGGTAGGGGGACTTCAAGGAAGAGAAATTGTCAGCTGCCACTATGCTCTAATTTGCACCAAAGGGAAAGATAGAGTAATATTACTGGGCCATTACCCACTGCTTTATCACATTAATATGTTGGCAGATGTCATATCCCAACAAATAGGCCAGGGAAAAGTATACAGATTGGGAGAATGGGGGGTATGGGAGAGGGGCAGTGGAGGTGGAAAGATGGATTATTTTCAATCTTTTCTTTCTCTCTTCTGAAGTGATGATATGGCCAATGTTTTAAAAACAGATTTTTGCTCTGGTATTAAGCACTTCCTAGGAACCAGTTTTGGTTTGGTGGGTTTTTTTCTTTTTTTCCTCTTTCCCCCCTCTACTACTCTCTCTTTTAGCACATACATATTCTCACTCCACTTTGATTTCCCATCTATATATATCTCATCCCATAGAATATTTCTTCCTAACTCTTAGTTTATATTTTTCCTCTTGGTCTCTGAATATAAAAGACTAGAGGCAAGCTTGGTTTTTTGTTTAAAAAGAAGCCTGATCCAGGTTTCTTTTTGTATGTTACACGGAACTTTTTCGAGCTTAATACTGTACATACTTCTAGTACAGACTGGCATTACTTTTTAAAGGGTTAATGACCCTTAAGATGACAATACTGTCAAATAGTCTATGATGCCACCTTAAGATCTCAGATGATGGGAGTTACTAAGCCAGTTTTTCTTTATTCTGTGTTATTTTTCAGGTATGCTGTAAAACCAAGGTAGCAGACCTTCTGCACCTGCCTACTTTCTGAAGAGTCAGAATTAATGAATCACATGGTTTATTCATATCATATTTAACAGAAAACTTTTAGCCTGTCTTCCAGTGTTGATGTTGTAAGAAATCTCAGTGGGTACTAAAAAGTGTCAGATTTTCTGCATGCAAAGCCATGCAGTACTTTTCAGCCTGACTGAACTGAGCCAAGACAGACCAGGTGTTTTGAGAGCCTTTCATTACATAAATTGAATTCAGCAACCTCAGAAGGCCTGGATAAATGTCCATCCTTTATGTGCTTAACAGAGGTAGACCTCTCAACCTTTGGATACTTCCCCCATCCTGTTTTATAATCTGAATATTATCCACCAACATAAGTGTTTTTCTTTCTGTTCATGAAAATATTTTTCAGATATATTAGGTCCACTACACAGCAGTAGCCTTTAATAATACCTGAGCTAAGAATACTCTTGTTCAGAAATGGATTTAATTGGAGCATTTTCTTGGGACTTAAAGTTTATGTTTTGAGCCTTTTTAATAGCATGAATGTGTCAGACTTTTCCCTGTGTCATCAATACAGGCATGCAGATTTCAGTAGGTCAAAAAGATGCTGGGAAAAGCTGACAGTGCTTGTACCATTGTGGCCAGTCAGCACAGCAGTGTTAGAGTGCTGCTCCCCATGGATCAGATTATTGCATTGATTTGGATTACCAAATCACGCTGGCTATAATTTGACACAAGTCACAGCAGTGTGGGGGATCAGAGGCTGGTAACCTGCCTTAAGTCACTTGGGTAGGGTTTCTGCTCAGGCTGTGAAATGAAGGGCTGAGGATGGACAGAGCAGGAAGGACTAAGCACCTGCAAGATGCAGTGTAATAAAACAAATGGCTTGTATCTGATCTAGTACGCTTTGTTCATCATACTTTCATATAACAGCTTTCCAGTTCATGCTGAGCCAGCATTCTTACAAAAAGATGTGTCCATGGGCTGACAACGTTCAAAAAAAGGTACAAAAATGAAATGACATTTAGGGAAGGAAGGCACTCACAGTTCAGATGAAGCGTGGTGGGCCCAGAGGTGTTGATTAAGACAAATGGGCTCTGGCAGCAGGATGGCTCCTGGAACCTCCATCATTTTACTGCCACAGCAAGTAAGCGGCATGTCACGTCAATAGGCTGCTGATACATTCTCTCCTCACAAAGTCACTTTCATTTGATGCTGCTGGCGTCTGGTGGCTGCTGCTGTTTTAAATAAGTATTTTGATTGCAGATGAGCCTTGTGGCCTGGACTGAGGTCAAGCAGAGTCATGTTTATGCTGTTCTAAGGGAAGCATTGGTACAGAGGAAATCTGGATCAGATTCCTAGATAAACTGCAGATGACTCCTTTGAGATTATGGGAGTTACTTTCTTCTTCTTTTCCTCATTTCTGCACTATCTCCAATAAGCCTAGCACCACCTACTTTTAACCACCCCCTTCCATCATTTCTAAGGACTGCTTCTGTCCTTGTGCTGGCATGTGCAGTCTCTCCAAAATCAGTTCCTTCATAATAACCTGTTAGGTTCAGTTTAAAAAATTCTAACCAGGATCATTCTCATGGTGCTGGAAGTCCAGAGGGGCTAGTAACCCTTGGCAGCTGAGAGAGGAGAGTTGGCAAACAACTTGAATTGGCACTGTTCACTTCCCACAAAACTGTAGCCTGAATGGTGTATGTAGCCCTAACCTAGGAGACTGTCTCTGCTTTGTAAACTGAGCAGTCAAGGTTAGCAGAGATGAGGAAAAATGTATCTTCAGGGAGATGTAGTTGTGTGGAAAGAAGGAAATCAAAGTGGGCTCATCCTTCTCCTGTGCAAAATAGCAAAGGCTGGGCCTCACTCACCCCCTTTACTCTGTGTACCATACGAATTAAGCCTCTTTTCTGATGCCAGAGGACACAGTACAACTTTTTTACTCTACTGTGCACTTTCCAGTTTTCTGAGACAGTCATCAACCCTGTGCCTCTTTCCTGTGCTCCTACCTGATTGTTGCTGGGAAACATATAGCTTGGCCTGAAGTTTTAGAAGATACTGAAAATAAAATTTACTGGCAGGTACAAGGGGAAACTTGCACAAATTAAACCGTCTTAGTCTATATCCTGTATTCCATGCTTGAGAAGGAGAGCATCTAATGTATAAGCCAGTATTTCAACCAGTTTGAACTTATTACATTCACTGCTCAGGGTGGGTCTGTCTGATTCATCATTAGTGTGCTACTC